GGCAGCAAAATCATTTTCAACCAAGTGTAGGTTGTAAACATACTCGGGAACACTGCTGGTTCGATGAAGATTTCCTGCAATCAAGCACATAGGAAAATAATTCAGAATGGAAGTGGGCCAATGAATACTTAAAGATTGTATAACAATAGTATGTTCAACTTGCAAACTTAGAATAAGCATTAGATTTATATTAGGGTTTTTAATTACTAGTTTAGCTGGATGAGACAAAAGAAAAAAAAAAATCAAAGGTTATCACAAAATTCTCCACAAACTTTTCAAAGTTAAAATCTAATTTTAAAAGGTTTCTTGGATTTTTTTTTTTTTTGGAGGGAAAAAAAGAATTCACAAAAATCCAAAAACGCGTTTAGTTGTTACAATGTTGCAAAATCTGGGAATCACTCAGTGGTTTATGTGGTCCATTGTATAAAGTTCAGTTTCTCAAGTAAGAGCAGGAGAAATGGGTTCCCAGGGAAGGAACTCAGAAACTTCATGTAATAAGTAGGTGTAGGCAATAAATATAACGGTGACTCAACACTTCTAGATAAGGCAGCTTGTATGAACTACAAGGTAGGTCACTGAGGTCAAAAACCTGAAAAAGGCTCCACTTGAAAAAGATCAAGGCCCTGGTTGAGGTATCTGGAAATGCCAGTTAGGCAGTAGAAGAATTGAAACTTACACTTTTTAGTGAACTTACACTTTTTTCACTGGTTTTGTGGGATCCCACGGCTCATTCTTTGGTGGTCTAACAGCCAGACTACTCTCATGCAAATACAAAGCAGGAAGTATCCTTTGTGCTTAGTTGTGTGTGGCTTACACAGATTCTCAATTGGTCTGTGTGTCATACATCTATCTTAAAATATTCCCTTTTGAGAAGAGGGAGTGATAGAAAACTATTATGTCCCTCTTCATCTCCTTTACCCTTCTCTCAGTTTTTTTATTTTTTCTTCTTTTGTAATCTCTCTCTGCCTTATTAAAAAATAATAAATAAATAAAAGGCTAACTAAAATAATCAAAGAGTTGTAAAACCTACGTAATTTCTAGCTCCCTAATTTTAACCAAAATTTCTTTTTCTGTCATGTAGTATCTTTTAAAAATCCTGGAGTGGGGGCAGGGGGTACTCAATGAACTCTTCCGGGCTTCAGAGTCTCATTAAAGATGTAGAG